TATTCAGAATGCACAAAAGACTTTCAAGATCGATTTTCGAAGGGCTTCTGATATGCATCCTATGGAAATTGTCGAAGCTATTGACAAACTTCAAGAGAGGCTGAAGGTTGTTCCTGGTGAAGATCCTCTAAGTGTGGAGGCTCAGAAGAACGCTACCCTTTTCTTCAATATATTGCTCCGAAGCACCTTTGCTAGCAAAAGAGTTTTGGATGAATACAGGCTTACGCGTGAAGCATTCGAATGGGTTATTGGAGAAATAGAATCACGCTTCCTTCAGTCACTCGTTGCACCTGGTGAAATGATTGGCTGTGTTGCTGCACAATCCATTGGAGAGCCTGCAACTCAGATGACTCTTAATACCTTCCATTATGCTGGTGTGAGTGCCAAGAATGTCACTCTTGGTGTTCCCAGGTTGAGGGAAATCATTAATGTAGCCAAAAGAATCAAAACACCTTCTCTTTCAGTCTATCTAAAACCCGAAGCTAATAAAACTAAGGAGAGAGCTAAGACTGTTCAATGTGCTTTGGAATATACTACTCTTAGGAGCGTTACGCAAGCTACCGAAGTATGGTATGATCCTGACCCCATGAGCACCATTATTGATGAGGATATCGATTTTGTGAAATCCTACTATGAGATGCCAGATGAAGAAATTGCGCCTGAGAAAATCTCCCCATGGTTGCTTCGTGTAGAGTTGAATCGTGAAATGATGGTAGATAAGAAACTTAGCATGGCAAACATTGCCGAGAAGATCAACCTTGAATTTGATGATGATTTGACTTGCATATTTAATGATGATAATGCTGAGAAGTTGATACTTCGTATCCGTATCATGAATGATGAAGCCCCGAAGGGGGAGTTGACTGATGAATCAGCAGAAGATGATGTGTTCTTGAAAAAAATTGAGAGCAATATGCTAACAGAAATGGCTCTTCGAGGAATACCCGACATCAACAAGGTTTTCATTAAATGTGGTAAAGTGAACAAGTTTGATGAGTCTGAAGGTTTTAAGCCGGAGATGGAGTGGATGTTGGATACAGAAGGTGTCAATCTCTTAGCTGTTATATGTCATGAAGATGTCGATGCGAGGAGAACCACAAGCAACCATTTGATTGAAGTTATTGAAGTTCTTGGGATTGAAGCAGTTCGACGTTCTCTCTTAGATGAATTGCGTGTTGTTATATCCTTCGATGGATCTTATGTTAATTACCGACATCTTGCCATCCTGTGTGACACCATGACTTATCGTGGCCACTTGATGGCTATTACTCGTCATGGTATTAATCGAAATGATACCGGACCAATGATGAGATGCTCATTTGAAGAAACTGTGGATATCTTACTTGATGCTGCAGTATATGCCGAAACTGATCACTTGAGGGGTGTTACTGAAAACATAATGTTGGGTCAACTGGCCCCCATAGGAACAGGAGGTTGTTCTCTGTATCTCAACGATGAGATGTTGAAGAATGCTATTGAACTCCAGTTGCCCAGTTACATCGACGGTCTAGATTTTGGCATGACACCTTCCCGTTCTCCGATCTCAGGAACTCCTTATCATGAAGGGATGATGTCACCGAGTTATTTGTTGAGCCCAAATCTCCGCCTTTCACCTATTAGTGATGCTCAATTTTCACCTTATGTAGGAGGAATGGCTTTCTCTCCTACTTCATCTCCAGGCTATAGCCCATCATCTCCGGGCTACAGTCCATCGTCCCCTGGCTATAGTCCCACATCCCCTGGTTATAGTCCCACTTCTCCAGGGTACAGCCCTACCTCTCCGGGCTACAGTCCAACATCTCCAACCTACAGTCCTAGTTCTCCGGGTTATAGTCCAACTAGTCCTGCATATTCCCCTACAAGTCCATCTTATTCCCCCACGTCTCCCAGTTACAGTCCCACCTCTCCAAGTTACAGCCCCACCTCTCCTAGTTACAGCCCCACATCACCAAGCTACAGCCCCACTTCCCCCAGCTACAGCCCCACTTCGCCTGCTTACAGTCCCACTTCACCTGCTTACAGCCCCACTTCTCCTGCCTACAGCCCAACTTCCCCGTCTTACAGCCCAACTTCGCCCTCCTACAGCCCTACATCGCCTTCTTATAGTCCCACATCACCCTCTTACAGCCCAACATCACCTTCTTATAGTCCCACTTCACCTTCGTACAGCCCCACCTCTCCAGCATATAGCCCCACCTCCCCTGGCTATAGTCCCACATCACCGAGCTATAGCCCTACTTCTCCTAGCTATAGTCCCACATCACCTAGTTATAATCCTCAATCAGCTAAATACAGCCCATCACAGGCATACTCACCCAGTAGTCCGCGAATGTCTCCTTCAAGTCCATATAGCCCAACCTCACCAAACTACAGGTAGTGGATTGTTTAAGTATTTTTGGTATAAATATCTTGGGTACCGTTCAAGTGCCTGAATGTGTAACTCCCTTACGTTCATGCTTGTTTTTTCGGTTTGTTTCCGAATGCCTCGAATCTAACAAGTTTGGTCATTTTGTCTTAACCTTGCAGCCCAACATCACCATCATATTCACCTACTTCTCCAGCATATTCTCCATCAAGTCCAACCTACAGTCCTAGCAGGTAAATTTTTATTACCCCTTTTCTAGAGGGCTCTCTGTAACATCTGTACTTCTGATACACGTTTTTGCCTTCGCATTTCCTTAACCCATTATTTGCCCTTCTCTTTTCAGTCCATACAATACAGGACCCAGCCCAGACTACAGCCCCAGTTCTCCACAATACAGGTTAGCTGAGATACTTAACTTACTAGTGGAACCATTTACATCTTCTTCTCCTAGTGAGAATCTGATTGTTTATTCTCCTTGCAGTCCAAGTGCAGGATACTCACCGACTGCTCCTGGGTATTCTCCATCATCTAATAGTCAGTACACTCCACAAACAAGCGACAAGGATGATAGGAGCAATCGATGATGAGGGTTCATAGCAAATATCCTTGAAGGAAAAAGGTAAAGTTCGGGAAGCTCTGATCTATCTGATGATAAAAATGTGGCTATTTTAATTTTCTTGAATAATTGATCTTCAGGATGTTTTATATGGATTTCTCTTCTCTGATGCTTGCCATCATTTCTGAATCTGGACTTGGAAAGGGGCGTTGTATCTTATTAGCTATTTCGTCAAAAAGATTGGCTGGGTTCATACTATTTTAGTAGGGTTGAATTATCCTACTAGGAAGCCTCTTTTTTGAGGACAAGAGTGTTAATTTGAAGTAGGTTTATATAGTCAGAAAGAAATAGAAGGAAGAATACTAGTGTTGACAAAATCAGAGGAGATGAATTTTGGTTCCCATACGACTCGGCTGGCGTTTTATATATATAATTGATGACTAGACAGCATAACACAGGGTAATGTAGTTATTTTTGTTCTTGTTTTGGTTTTTGAAACACCCCCTCATGATCTGAAAAATTTCCAAGATTCTCTTTTAGTTTTTCAAAACTTCATTGCAAGCCATAGCAACCTTTTGTAGGTGATTTAATTGAGTGCTAGTCTCTGTGATTTCTTCCTTCACTGTAAAATGGAACTGATTGTGTAGGTAGTTTGTAAATGTCAGGTCTTCAAGTCTCCTCCAGAACGGGAAGAGGCAAATAAACGACCGAACACACCGTGGCATGTTGCTCGGAATGGACACATTATATCATCTAGCCTTTCGCAAGCTTGTTTATTTTTTGCTTTGAAGAACTTGTGAAAGTATTACAAGCAAAAATTGATTCCCTTACAATTAGCGTCACTCTTTCCATGTAGTTTTTGTACCTTGCCATATAGAAAGTCATTATTTGAAGATACCTGTAACTTGTGTGATGCTGAAACGCTTCTAAAAGTTATATTCCCCCTTTTAGGCTAAATTGTAATGTATCTTTACAAGTTTAAATACTATTTTAGTCCCCTTCCATTCTCCCATGCTAGTGGATTTTGAACAATTTTTAAATAATGATCTTCATGCTGGATCTTTTGTTCATTTTAGTTCTTAAGTTTGATCATTTAGCCTGATATGCAAAACCATGCATTCCATAACACCTCACGATCGCTCTCCATACGATAACGGTTTTGTCATTGATTCGGTTGAAAACATCTCTTGCAATGTTCGCATGACATCTGAGTCGAAAACCGATGAACAAGTTTCCTCTTGTCACTGTTCTTCATTGTGCCACATGCCTTCAACACAAAGAAAATGTGTAGTAATTGGTGGGTGTGACTCGGACACGAATTTCATCAAACAGGTTGAGGGTGCAAACGAACCCAAACTTGCACACCCTTGAGTAATTGTGTTCCACAAGAACACGTCTCTTTGAAGCATTCTATCGAACACCTTTCGTGCAATTCCCATGACCCAATAACTTCATATAATTGTATGAATCGTGATGATATTCGCCAGAACACAGACCTTAACCATCTGAAGCACGGTTTTCTCGAAACCAGAGCACGCGAAGATCGCCGGCAAAGCTCATTCATTTGAATCTTCAAGCCAAAAGCTCCGTGGAAAAAGGTTAGTGTCGTTGCGGCAGTGGACAAACGCCGGTCGTTTTCCCGGTAGCGAACGACATGGCCATTTGTGGATATGGTGATGCTGATGTGTTGATAGTGACAGATACCCTCTAAATACATATTTTAAATATTCTCTTTTATTAAAAAAAATAAAATTAAAAATAAATAAAGGTCACCATAGATATTTTTTTTTAAAACAATTTATTTTTAATCTAAATTAATAAAAATATTTTAACTTTCCATTTGTCTTAAAATTACTCTCGTACCTTTAAATTTTTTTAATTCTCTCTCTATACTATTAATAAAACTTTAAAAATACTCTTAAATTAAAACAAATAAAAAATATTTTTTTAATTAATTATGTAAAAAAAAAAAATTGGACTAAAATTAGAGGTTTAAATGCGGATTAATAGGTGTATTATATTAAAAGTTTGGAAATTCAACTAAAAAAGTGACCACTTTTAAAAGTTTGATGGAGCCCATAATTGAATCTCCAAAGCAAACAAGATTATCTTGAAAAAAATTTGGATTATGGGAATTTGAAGCGTTGATTGATCTATTCTAGACATTGATTATTTCATAAAATTGGTGATCTCGTTCACGTTCCTTTAACGAGGGAGTTTTGATCTTTGTTCTTCATTTCCTCCAAATCTCCTCTCTCTCTCTCTCTCTCTCGATCGATTCAGACGCGATTGACACACACTCTCTCTGTAGCAGCGAAAAAGAAGCGGTTTCAGGCCAATCCCACCTCAAAACTCTCCCCCTTTCTCCTTCAATCTCCTCCTTCTTCATCTTCCATCGCCATTTTTCTCTGTAATTCCTCCATTACAATGCTGGGTTTAGTCCCTCACTTCTCTCTTCGTACCCTTTTCCCCGGATCCGCCATAGCCATGGATCATCCCTCTGCTTCTCGCCCCTCCTCTTCCCTTCACTTTTCTGTTCTCCGATCGCGGCCCAATGCCGTTCGCTCTCGCCGACCCAAGTCGATCCTCGTTTCTTGCCACTCTTCTCGTGATAGATCCACCCACAGTGACGATGATTCCCATCAGGATTACTTCGAAGCTTCGTTTCTTGTTTCAGGTTCTTTGATTTTACTTTCTGGGTTTCTTGTTTTAGAGCTTTGATGATTGTGAAAATCGCGATGAAATCGATTGTGGGTGTTTATGATTCCTGTATCTGTTTAATAGAGACAATCTATCACTATCGAATGTGGAAGAAGAGGTTTCAAGAGGACACGAATTTCAATCAGATTGAATCGCGAGTCAATTCCCCTTCACTTGGACTGGGGTTTTTTAGACGTTTTCAAAGCCCTACTGTGTTCCTCAAAATTTCTTGCAATGGTGACTTTCTACTGCCAATTGTCGTAGGTATATTGGATCAAAACTTTGTCGTGATTGGGTTTGTGTTTCTTATGAATTTGGCTGTAAGTTTTGGACTCTGTTTGCAGGGGAATATGCTATTGAGAAACTTATAGATTCTCACCTTGGGATTGAAAATGGGGTTCGTTTTCTGTCTTTGTTCTTCATATTTTTGGTTTTTCATACCTTGTGGTTGGTATTAATTGTCTAATGATCATGTTACAGGAAGCCCCAGATCTCTTTCAGTTTATACAAGACCTTATGGTGAAAGTTGGCTATGAAGTATGGAACTACCTTCTAACTTACCAACTAAATACATGTTCAACCTTTATTATTATTTCAGTTCAACGATGTGGTTTGAACATTCGGATGGTAGTCCGTGCCTTATCGACTAAGTTATGCTTAGATTGGTCATAGATTTTATATTTGGTTTAGTGTTCTCTTCGAGAGCTTTCGTGACGTGGGTGTGAAGGTCACTAGGATGGAGTTTTTTCGGCTTTTGATTATGCACTTCGGAATTTTTACTTCTAGACAAGAACCAATAGGTTGTGGTGTAAATCTGCTAGTTTTGTTTGTTTTAACTTGTGTCGTGACGGATGTATACCGATGGGGGACGAGGTTATTCTCAAGAATATCATTCTCTTTGCCCCTTGCATTTCCAAGTATTATATGATTTGAGGCTTAGTTCTTCATCTATTGATGGTTAATAAATTATGGGTGGGTGGTGTTTAGTGATAGGAACCTTCCTTCCTTCATTGACTTGTTTCTTTAAGGTAATTGAGTAGTAAAATGAAAATCTAGAAGCAATGTAAAGGTTCTGAATAAACCATGAAACAGGAGTTTCGAGCCGTAATCTAATGTCGTTTTATGCTGTTGTGCATATAGGTCACGACAGCGAGAATTACTGAAAGAGTGGTGAACACTTACTTTGCACGGCTCTTCTTGAGAAAGGTTAGCTCTTGTAAATTCAGTCACAATGAGCTAATAGTGTTGTTGAAGTTCTCAATTTATGTTGGGTTTTTGTTTTCTTTGTCACACTACTATTATCATCTGCAGGATGGGGAAAACGAGACGTTAAGTGTGGACGCACGCCCCTCAGATGCCTTAAATATTGCATATCGGTGTAAGGTAGATATTCCTACCATCGATTGCAGAGATCTTTATAGAACCTCTGTGAGTTGCTGGAATGACTTAATTGGTTTTAAAATGTAGTACATGTGTGATCCCACGTCGGTTGGGGAGGAGAACGAAACATTCTTTATAAGGGTATGGAAATGTCTCCCTGGCAGACACGTTTTAAAAATCTTGAAGGGAAGTCCGAAAGGGAAAGCCCAAAGAGGACAATATCTGCTAGTGGTGGGCTTGAGTTGTTACAAATGGTTTCAGAGCCAGACACCGGGCGATTTGCCAATGAGGAGGCTGAGCCCCAAAGGGGAGTGGACACGAGGCTGTGTGCCAGCAAGGACGTTGGACCCCAAAGGGGATTGGGGGTTCCATATCGATTGGAGAAGGGAACGAGTGTCAACGAGGACACTGGGTCCCGAAGGGGGTAGATTGTGAGATCCCACATCGGTTGGGGAGGAGAACGAAACATTCTTTATAAGGGTGTGCAAACCTCTCCCTAGCAGACACGTTTTAAAACCTTGAGGGGAAACCCGAAAGGGTAAGCCTAAAAAGACAATATTTGTTAGTGGTGGGCTTGGACTATTACAGTACAATTATATATATGCTAATTTAATGCTTTACTTTGCACCCTCTCATTCTTATTTCACTCGAACTTTTCTTCTCTTATGCCATTTTCCTGTGTAACAAATATGCAGATACCGGTACTCGTTAGTAAGCAGATTGTCTATGAGGATGCGATAAGAGTTAGTTTCGGGTTTGGAAGAGTGCGCAAGAGGAAGTCATGTTTTGATGTTCTGCTTGACTGGTAAAAGTGCAAGCATCGTTGGCTTATTCGATATACATCATTTCTCGATATCTAAAAACGATAGTTTCTTGTTCAGTGCTGCAGATGGTCCAGATTTCTTGTCCGAGGAACTCGATATGCTGAAGAACATGAAAATGGCTATTTACGAAGAACGATACAAAGATGCAGGTTTAAGTAGAAAGGATTTCAACCATGTCCTATCCAGACATTCTGTTTCTGATCATGTTCATACAATGAAGGTATTTATGATTGACGTTTGTTTTCTTCAGCTATGTGGAGAGATAAGTTAACAAAGCTTCGAAAATCTGTACATGAGGCGTGACGTCAAACTGCACTTGTACGTGTTGTTCCTGTAAGTAACTTTCTGTAATCGACTGATGTACGGGGAAAGGTACCACCCGAAGAAAAATGTTTGAATTTTTCTGATACTGATCCCTAAACAGAGCGACTCTTCTGTTGGGTAGGAATTGTTCGCTTGCAGGCATCTCTTAGAACGTCGAATTCAGCATTGGATGGACTGGAAACACAGAGCGGACTGCTACACATCATTGCAGAAAGTTATCGATAAAGATGGTCGGTCTGTACAGTTACAGTTAAAAGAGGTATGTAAATACTACATTTGGGTAGTCAATGTGTTGTATCTCTAAGATGTGAATGTTATGGTTGATATTCATTCTTCACATAGAGAGAGAGAGAGAGATGCTGAATGTGAAAGGAAGCTTTTGTATATCTTAACAAAGATCCTTTTGTGGTTATAAACGAAGCGAAAAAGTAAACGATTGCTCATATGTTCCGGTATTGAAACTGAGCTCTGGAATTAAAAGGCGATGGTAGGGAGGGACGTTGGAGCGTGTCGTTTTCATTGGAGATTTAGCACAAAAATGAGAGGAACAGAGGAGTTTTATCATGCAATGGGGTTGTCATGGAACAGAGAGAATCCAAAAACAAACATAAACTGTTGTTACCGAAGCCTCCTAGGAAGGTGCCATTCTCTCCAACATTACCAGCTCCCATCTACATAGCCAAATCCCAACATCAAAACGTAAAAGTAAGAAGAAGAAAGAGAAAAGAACATGAACTTTTAGAGCTATCTTGGAGTAGAAATCCGTTAAGAGTGTGACCGTGAGTTGGAATGGTTTGATGGTGTTAAAGTCCTAATCTGCGTTATGGGTCATTGCTGGAAATTAGGACATGAAACGAGTGTGGCCGTGCATTTGAATGGAATGGTTTGATGGTGTTCGAGTCCTAATCTACGTTCTGGGTCATCTTTGGAAATCAGGACATGAAACAGGTGTAGCCGTGAATTGGATAGTTTGATGGTATTTGAGTCCTAATCTACGTTTTGATGGTGTTCGAGTCCTAATCTACATTATGGGTCATTGTCGGAAATCAAGACATGAGACGAGTGTGGCCATAAATTGGAATGGTTTGATGGTGTTCGAGTCTTAGTCTATGTTCTGGGTCATCGTCGAAAATCAGGACATGGAACGAGTGGCCATGAATTGGAATGGTTTGATGGTTTTAAGAGTCCTAATCTACGTTTTGGGTCATCGTCATACCATGTAAGTCATAATTTTCTTCCAAAATTCTAACATATTTCTACTCTAAAAGTAGTTTCGAAACGTTTATGGAAGGATTTAGGTTTAGGGTCGTTAGTATGGAGTTGTTACCATATTTATGCCAACAGATGAGCATGACGAGACACCTCCTTGCAATATAGAATCTGGATTTGCTCTCTTTGATCATCTCCATACATCCAAACTCATGTGCTTCTGACCCTTCCATTTCTTCTCTGTCATTCCCTTTATTGGATTGACACTGCCCCATTCACTCCTTCACCACCATTCGGCTACCCAAACCCGAACCCGAACTCGACCTCGTGCTTGTTTGAGTATCGTTTCTTGTAGCGTTTGTTCCCCTTCCTTTTGGCCGTGTTTCTTCTTTCTTCTTCAGGCTTTTCTTCCTCTTATTACATCCATTCTTCTTCTAGGTGTCATTTCCTTGGGCTCTTCTTCGAATGATATCTTTTTCTTCTTCTTTAGATCAATGACCTCTGCTTCTCGATCAAAGATACATGTCTTAACTAGCTGAGCTATTGCTTCCTTTGTTGATCGTTACGGAACTCGTTTTTGATGGGTTTATGGTCTACAAAGTTGAAAGCAGAGGCAAGGAGGGTGTTTTATTGAAGAAACTGATGGTTCCCATATCCATGATTGATCCATCATCAAAATTGTGGGCCTCCACTACTGAAAGGATCAGGACCGTTCATCCCTCCACGTTGCCACTTAGCATCTTCAAGGGTGGTTCCAGTTCTTCTCTTCTTAATCTCTACCAAAAACCTTTGGATTATAGCTGGATCTTCTTAATCATTATGCGTTGGCAACCACTGATTGATCTTCCAACTTAATCTTATTTTAATTTAATAATTACCAATTTCAGTTTTTTTAAAAAAAATATATCGGGATTTATTAGACACAAAATCAAAAGTTCAGAGATTAAACTTGTAATTTAATAACCTCAAGATTTAGAGTCGGGGTCTTGAACCAATCCAACTTTAATTGTGTTAAAATTCATTTCAAATTTGAAATTTTTTGGTGGGTCAACCCCACCAATCTAACAATAGGGTTGACAACTTACTCTACTTTTAAAATTGTTATTAGAGATAATTGTCTCTCTTGCGCCCCTACCCACCTTTGTCAGCTTCGGGTGCAGATACCTTTTTGTTGAAGGTCGTTTGAACTTTTCTTGGGAGTATGACATGGGTTACTTCAGCGCTGTAGCGCTTGGTACTCGAACATTGGCTCGAAGTATTTTCTCCACCTTTTCTTACCCTGAAAAAACAGGGGCACCTTGTGTGCTTGAATCGATAACCATCTTTTGGTTAATCTAGCCTCCTCGATCCCTTGGAACCAACAAAGCAGTTGTTTGAATTCCTTATGATATGCAACTGAAACAAGTTCTTGTGAATGGGAAAAGAGGCAGTTTGAATGTGGGGGCTGTTTTTATTAATCGAAAGTTTGAATTAGTCCCTGATCGTATTTGTCTCGAGATTAAAGAAAATATGGGCAGGACAATCTGTCTTTTCAGAGCTATCGTCCCACTAAAAAAATATTCTTGTGATAGAGGGGTGTGATCTTATCGGAGTTATAAATCTAATCAACTCGATTTTTTTTTTTTTTTTTTTTTAAGTATTTGTTTTGTTGACAACTCATTCCATATGCCACCAATAGAGAATATATAACTCAAACTATATTATATGAACTCATACATTATTATAATTTTCTATTATTCAACATATTCTCTCTATCTCTTTCATGATTGAGATTGATAATGGTGATTGGTGCATGTACTATGTAATCCCATTTTATAATGCAAACCTTGTGTTATCTCATTATTTTGTTTATTTGGTGTTCTAAGCTTTCGATCCCGAGATTCCTAACAATCGATACTGAATGTTAAATTAATGAACATTGATGTCGTATTTCTCAAACAATTTACAAATAAGCTCTCCAAATCTGGTTACAACTTGATTCTTGCAATAGTTCGGTGATTCCAATCTTTAACCTACTAAGTCCAGAGTATATGTTTAAATCAATTGAGTTTTGTAAAATGCAAAGTACGAGAATCTTCATTCCTAAGAAGTTCATATCCATAATCTAGTAATCTGTCTTGTTTCGTGAGATCCCATATCAATTGAGGAGAAGAACGAAACATTGTTTATAAATGTGTGGAAATCTCTCTCCAACCGACACATTTTTAAAATCCTAAGGGGAAACCTCAAAGAGCACAGTACATGTTTTTTTTAGTTGGCTTGTAATAGTCTGTGCTTTTCATTTCTTTGGTCTTTTCAACCGTACGAAAGTCTTATGTTTTAGTCATATCTCGGTTTGGTATAGTGAAAGATTCTATATGTATGCACATTTAATTTTAAAAAAAAACCTTAAAATTTTAAAATTTACGTAAAAAGATTCTCAACTACACGAGAATTAGGGTTTGAAACTGAGATCTGAAAATATCATCTGGCTAAAGATTTTTTTGTAATAAATAAATATTTATTAAGTAATTAAGGGAATCCAAATTATTCTAAACACAGTGAAATTTTGGAGTATCGATTTTCATATAAAATAAATTTAAAATAATGTTTTTTAATTTTAATTAATTTCAATATCTAGTTTTAATAATTAAATATAAGTTTAATTGAGTAAAAAATATGATATTTAAAAGAAAGAAAGAAAGAAAGAAAGAAAGAAAAAGAGAAATTGCGGTGGGAGATATTTTAATGCAAATAATGATAAAAACACAATGATTCGATGGTGGAACTTTCTCCTTTTTCTTTTATTTTTTCCGTTTTAAAAAAATCATCACCAATATCCAACATGGCAATTTTATATACTCTTGTGGTCCCCACGTGAGTCGACGCTGACTGTATGCTGACATGTCAATCTCTTCTAAAAGTTTTAAATGCTTTCGTGTGTACTTTTTCCTTTTCAAATTTAGTTAACCTATTTTCATTATTTTTTAAAGTTAATTTTAAATTAAAGAAAAATTTAACAATAAACCATAAATTAAATTCAATATTTAAAATTTAACAAGACAAAAATAATAAATTTTGTTTCAAAAGTAAAACGATCTTCACTGAAACCAGAAGTACCTGAAAGCTTTCTCTCTCTCTCTCTCTCTCTACTTTCTCTCTCCTTCCACTCTGTCACCGTTTTCCACTCCACAGAAACCTTCTTCTTCATCATCATCATCGTCTTCTTCTTCTTCTTCTTCTTCTTCTTAGTTGATACCAATTTCCGAGTGTGATTCTTCAATCATTCCTTGTTCCGCCGTTTCGATTTCTTCTCCGAAGCTTTATCTCAGATTCCGTTGATCGCTTTTTGGTTTGGTTTTGGGTTTTCTTCTTATCAATGCCGATTGAAGATGATGTTGAGAGCTGCGGTAGCCGAGCCTCTGACTCCTCCTCGTCCCAAGCGAACCCGAGGCATCATCGCCAGAAGCTTGATGTCTACAACGAAGTGCTCCGACGAATCCAGGAATCCAATTTTCATGAGGCCAATTTACCTGGATTTGATGATCAGCTATGGCTTCATTTCAATCGCCTCCCTGCTCGGTATCTTCCTTCCTTCCTCTCTCCTTTTCGATTATGTGCTAATTGCTTCTATGAACAATATGTTCGTTGAAGAACCTAATTGAGAAATTTTAATACATTACGAGTAAATTTGAATGCTGTAAAAGATTATGGATGAAATTGGGAATTATGTAGGTGATTAGGGGTCATTTTGATATATTTAGCCTTTTGTTTTGTTTTGTTTTGTTTTCTTACTGTGAAAATTGGAAGTATTGGGCATTGTATAGCAAGGATTTATGGTTGCAGATTGTTCAGAGGATCAGTTGTTTTGTATGTAGTTTGGAATACAAATTCATCTGTTATTCTTGTTTGTTTATATGTATTTATAATCACGTTTTTATTGGATTTCCAGAGCACTCCTTCCGTTTTTGTTAAGTTCCTGATTATTGCTGTATAGATACGCATTGGATGTGAATGTCGACAGGGCGGAAGATGTACTCATGCATAAGAGATTACTTCAATTGGCTGTAGACCCTGCTAACCGACCCGCATTCGACGTTCGTTCTGTGCAGGTAAAGCTTAAAAGTGCAACTCAATTGCATGAAACATTGTATCAGTTCAACTGCCAGCTCCTCCTTAATTTGTTATTCTTGGTAATGGTATTATTTGTAGTATAAGTAATGATATTGAAATAGTTTTTGGTTTCAGAGAGTTGGAAGTCATGACAATGTATCACTAGGATCTATGCTACTTTCATAGCATTTATTCTCTGATTGTTCTAGTTCTGTTATATGCTCGAGGGTACTTCATGAAATCAGCTTAAACTTCTTAACATAGTATGTTTGAGAATTGAGTTTGAGCATAGAATCTTTATCTAGGTTTCTTTTGGTCATGCAGGTTTATCCTTCTCCTAATGAAAACTTTATCAATTCTTCTTTTCTGGATTCTTCAATGACGGAAGATGCTCAGAGCTCTTTGAATTATTCTAACAGACAAGGGTGCGGCTCAGTAATGTTATTCCGTACAAGTGTTTTTATAATTATGTTCTGATTCTAATTTTTGTTCTGGTGCTCATTGAGTGACACTCTCTCTCTAGGAACCATCCACCTCCAACCTTTGGTTCTTCTCCTAATCTTGAAGCATTTGCAATTCAGGCCTGCAAGTATGGGGTCGAAGATAGGGACAGTGCCCTAAACATGACACCCTGCTTTTCTCGGTGAGGAAAAGAGAGTTTTTCTATACAGAACAGCTCAATAAAATAGTAAAAAGGAATAAGAACTATGATCTAGTTATTCATTTTCAACCGCATATATCTCTTGAAAATTCAAGAGAGTCGAGACATTTTCACGTTTAATTTATTATAAGGATATTCTTCAAGTGGCAGTGAGATATATAACTTAGTATAAAGCTATAAAGCTAAGGCCCTGCACAATAATAACATTCTTCTTTTTCTGCTTTTGACACATTAGTGTTTTTGTAACCTTGTGTTTCGTTCTATTATTGACAATCTGTAGGCCAATGCATGAGATCACATTTGCAACAATTGACAAGCCTAAACTCCTTAGTGAGGTATTTGACTTATCTAATAACTCAAAACCGTAGTTTTGAAAGTTTGTTAAATAGAATTGTAATACATTCACCTACATGAAACAATTATATTTGCTCCATGCTGCGACCAGTTAGTTAGACCATGACAAAGACTTTCTACCCGCCAATGAATTTTACTACTGCACGAGCATGTAAAAAATGAGGTAGAACTTAAACCCACATTGCAGTAAAATTTTGGCAATTGGGACAAATAGTTTGATGGGCCTGCACTTGCTGTTTAATAGGACTTCTTGCATTTTAGTATTTATTATTGTATAACTATTCCTCAAATGTCGGTTCTGTCCTTAAAACATTTGATGGCTGTGTCCAAGACACTCTTGATAAGCTATAAGTAGTTATGACAAAAAGTCAATATCAAAGAGATATTTAAGTTGCTAGGGTTATTTTTTCCCTTTAATTATCACACCCTTCATTGGATGATAGAAAGTTTTGGTTCTGGTCAGTTAACTTGCTTCCTAGCTGATGTTGGACTTAACATACAAGAAGCTCATGCTTTCTCCTCTGTTGATGGTTTCTCTCTGGATGCTTTTGTCATCGATGGATGGCCTTATGAGGTAAGTCAGTTCTAATATCTTTTTACTATTTTATTCATCTTTTATATCAGTCATCTTCATATTTTACTACTTGAACATTGGGAAATCTAGGAAACCGAGGAGCTGAAAAGGGCATTAGAAAAAGAAATTTTAAGTTTTAAGGTATCTTCTCTTTTGTCCATCAATTATACTGATACAATGTTGAGTTTTCTTTTTCCTTTAATTTTTTTAACGTACCTGAAATGGGATGCAGGAACAGTGTTGGTCAGAAAAGCAGCCGAGTCCTGCTTTGGGTAAGCATAACCAGAATAGAGTTGAATCTTTTCCTTGTTGTGTTGAGATACCTACTGATGGTACTGATGTCTGGGAAATTGACACCAGACAACTAAAATTTGAGAATAAAGTTGGATCCGGGTCGTATGGGGACCTGTAAGTTTTATCTAATTATGAAATATGATTGTTAACTGATAAAAATTAAAAATCTTGTTGATATATCCTGATCCTAATCTTCACTCCCTCTCCTCTCAAGGTATCGGGGCACTTATTGTAGTCAGGAAGTAGCTATTAAAGTACTGAGGCCTGAGCGTCTTAGCGAAGAGATGGTCAAAGAATTCTCTCAAGAAGTTTATATAATGAGGTTTGTCTGTATTGTTATTAACACCATTATGCTTTAGAAGAACATGGTATGCCCATTGAAGGACAACATGGGATACAGTGGGTTTAGGATAAAAATGTAGCAATCAGAAATGGTAGGACTTAGATAGTTTACTTCTTACAAGTTTGAATTCAAATTTTAAGATCATCTGTTACTTTCTAATCTTTAGTCTTCAAAATAATGCTTTTACTTGAGAAGAGGTGCTTCTGGCCTTAAAATTCTAATTTATCTTTGCGGTTGTGGTAAAATACTGGCATCCCCCATATGTCATATGTGATAACAAAAAAAAAAAAAAAAACAACATACCGATTCAAAAGAGGATTGTACAAAGGAGGATAATCATCCTCGTATTGTCCTAAAGGATTGTTGAAAGGAACATTATGGGAATTGTCTGGAAATGCAAGCCTAATGAAAAGCTACAACTTTTAAGTCTTTCAAACTTAGAATGGCATCTTCAAATATGTTTTAAGAAAGTTACTTGACCTATTTTTCATTAGTATTCCTCTCCAGATAATTTTTTCGCTTAAGAATTCCCATATTGATAATGAAGATAGATGGCTTCAGAATAAAACCCATAAAAGCACGTGGACATGTAATGCAGGATGAAGTCTTTTACTATCATACTAAAGTCCGGTACCTATTTTTGCAGGAAAGTTCGGCACAAAAATGTTGTTCAATTCATTGGAGCATGTACCAAACCTCCAAACCTCTGCATCGTGACGGGTAAGCTATGATAATTGAGAAATAAATGACTTCATAGTAAGGTTGCAACCTGTCACTTCAAGAAATTTCGTTTTTCACGATAGAGTTTTTTATTTTGTTTCTCAGCAAATTGATTGTTGCTCATGTTTTATCTTTTACAGAGTTTATGTCGAGAGGAAGTCTATATGACTTCCTTCACAAGCAAAGAGGTGTATTTAACCTTCCATCTTTACTTAAAGTAGCCATTAACATTTCAAGAGGGATGAACTATTTGCATCAAAATAATATAATCCATCGAGACCTCAAGACTGCCAATCTTCTGATGGATGAAAACATGGTGAGAGGAATTCATAGAAGTACGAGAATGAGAAATCTTCATTGATCTATAACCATTTATACTCCATTAATTCTTCTCTTAATCTTCCATTGAAAATTGTTCTTGTTTCATTTTTTATAATAGGCATTTATGCTAATGTTTTGTGCATTTACGTGGGCAAACATGGATGTGTGTGCCTATTTGTATGAAACATGACATAATATCGTATGATTTAGAAAAAAAAACAAGCATAATTAGAAAAAAAGATTGCGGAAGAATATTTGGAATTCAGTGTTGAATCCTAGATCCTTAAATTCAGGTTGTTAAGGTTGCTGATTTTGGAGTTGCCAGAGTTCAAACTCAATCTGGAGTAATGACAGCTGAAACTGGAACATACCGGTGGATGGCTCCTGAAGTATGTGCTTTCCGTAAATTTTTCATACTTTAAATATCTTTTTAATCATTCCAAATGAAATATACCTTACTCAATACACAAGAACGATTGAAATTTAATATCATCTTTATCAAAAAGAAATATTTAGTATTATATAGGTCATATGCTTGAATAAAATTGCTGTGTGTAATTTGGTTCTTTAAGACTTTGATATGTTTATTATTCTTGTGAGGTATACGAGGACTGAGTCATGGTTAGCTGGGAGTCTGACGCATTTTCTGTCATATCTTGCTTTCTCTCACTTCTATGATCAATTAAATTATAAACCAGAATTTGCATCTTGATCTTACCAACATTGTCAAGAGTGATAACAGTGATGAATTTAAGACACCGAACGACTGCAAGGTTCAATTGATAGCACGGCTTTAGATGGAGCACAGTAGTTAGAAAGGGTATATCTAACCTTGATGACATTAAATGCTCTGCTTTTATTCTTGACGCTCACTGACCCGACATTTTACCAACGATTTGTCTTCCTTGAATTCATAGCAGCAAAACTTTTTTCAACTAATTACTTGTTTACTGCATTTATCAACTAGTCTTCCGATGTCTGTCACTCTAGATTTTAAAGGAGGTGCCATATCTTTTCATTGTGATGATTTTTTTTTTTTTTTTTTTTGGGATGTGAAGGTTATTGAGCATAAACCATATGACCACAAGGTAGATGTTTTCAGCTTTGGAATAGCTTTATGGGAGCTTTTAACCGGAGATGTAAGCAGCTGCTTTGATTTGAGTATTCATTTTATGGATGTTTTTATGGCTTCTCCAGTTTAGTGTACATATGATTTCCCTTTTGCCATTTTGTTGTATGACTAGATTCCTTACTCATCCATGACCCCATTACAAGCAGCTGTTGGCGTAGTCCAGAAGGTATAGACATCTATTTTCTTGATCAATATTACCATTACTGCAATTAATACGCTTTAATATATTATCCGACGTTGTTTAACAGAGACTGCGACCTACAATACCGAAGAATGCTCATCCCGTTGTTGCTGAACTGCTTGAAAGATGCTGGAGGCAGGACCCAACCGAACGGCCAAACTTCTCTGAAATTTTAGAGATCCTCAAACAGATAGCTGAGCAGGTAAGGTAGACTCATTAGCAATATCTGACATGTTGAATTACAAAAAGTTTCTAAGTAGATTCGATCGAAGCAGGTCAAAAACAACGGGGAAAATCAACGCAAGAAGGATAAAATATCCAGTGTGTTCTTCTCAGCCTTCAAGAGGGAGCACCACTGAATACACTGGACGAGCTTCGCCAGAGGTACAATGGTGCTGGTAATCAATAAGACCCTCCCACAAAAAGTAGGAAAATGTTTGGACCGCCTTTTTTGTGACTTTCGTGTTCATGTTTCCTTCTTTACCTAACAGCTATATTGGTAGATAACCCGTAGCATGCTGTATAATATGCTATTCAAAACTAATACATCTGAATGTAGAATTCGCCTTCTTTCTTTGATATTACAAGTTGGATTCTGTCTCTATCTCTCTATCTTCTTTCTTTTCTTTTATGCTGATAAATGCACGAATTTTGAATCTTAAATCAAGTTGTGTACAAATTATTTGTGAGAAGAGAAGAGAACTGATAATCAATCATTAACAAGAAAAGAATTGGCACTTGGATTCAACTCGTGCAGCTCGAGAATCGTACTAAAGCATAAAACTTCAAAAACTAGCTGCAAAACACTTGAGAAATAAAGGTCAAGAAGAGAATCTCCAAACAACAATCAAACAGAGGATATAAACACAAAAGAAAAGAATTCTGAATGAACTTAGCCACACTATTATATGTCCTGTAGAAGCATCTGCTAGTAGTATAAATGATACCTTTTCTCTTCAGCTTTGAAGAAACAATCTTCAATAATCAGACTCTTCACTGTATCTGTTCAGAAGCTGGCGAGCACGAACCCGAACCTGCAATCGAACCAATGCATGCATGAATTGAAGAGCTACCCGCGCCTGCCTCCTCGCACACACCCCTCGAGCCAGCGCTTGCAGCTTCACCAAGCTTCTTAGTGCTTGAAATGCTCGTCTTGCCTGAACAACAAGCGTAGGTATTGATAATACACCAAAGGACTAAATGTAGCCTACTTTAGCATAGACAAACTCATCAAGAATTCAATGAACAAATATGTCATGGTAAGATATAATACAAGATGGCCTCTGAAACAAGCTTGGATTTTGATGGCTGCCACTTCCTCTGTAGACAAATCTTTGTTTTGAAAACTGGGTATCCTTGAATCGTATGTAAATTCTTCATCTTCATCATCATCTTCTTCTTCTTCTTCATGTTCTTCATCTTCTTGTTGTTGTGCTAATGTAAGATTGGTTTCTTCTTCATCATGATTTGGGCTGGCGTTTGTCTGCAGAAAAACAATGTCTCTGTTGGCTTTTCTACTCAGCTTCCTTCGAGCTCTTCTGAACCAGTTTCTTGTAATCCCCATTTTACTTCTTGTTCTTCACAGGGGCATCATAAATGGTTAGCTGCTAATTTCTGATGACTTTAACGGAAAATAAGGTTGCTAGAAAGTGGGAGATGTGCGCAACATGTTTGTGTTAAAACACAGATTTTGGATGGAACTAACCAATTTTTGTGTTTATGTTGCTTTGTCACAAATCCAACAACGTGGAGAGATGTCTTTTTCTTCTTCTTTCTTTTATGACAATGATTGTGAGTTGACTTTGGTTGTTTAGCGGGTTAGAATAATGTGGCTCACGATTTTATATTTTTGAAGAGTTGAGAAAAGATTTAGACATGTAAATAATAGCATGGTAGTCTATATAATGACTATGTCGAATAGTTTTTTAGATAGAACGTGCTTACTAATAAGGTAAGCACGTGCTTACTAATAAGGTAAGCGAAAATTTTCAACTTCCTATCTTTACAGGCCCGCTCGATAACTATTTTGCTTTTTAAAATTAAATTTATAAATATTATTTCTATCTAGTTTTACCTTTGTTTTATTATCTATTTGCTAACAATTTATAAATATACTTTATAATATTACATCCCTTAACCTGGTCTAGGAATTAAAACACACTTATTCTCAACATTGACATCGACCCAAACTGGTCCAGGATTGTAATTCATAATTCTCGGACTCCCCGCCAGAATCTTCTGTGCTTTGACATGAGGATTCTCCTTTTCTATTATCCTAGCAGCAATAGAATATTCTATACCCACCACTTCGGGCCACTGTTCATCTTTTTAATGCACGTAACTCAAAATGAAATGCAAATGAGCCAATAACATATTTGCCAAAAAATAAAAAACATACAACAGTTTTTGAAAATCGCGTTATTTCGCTATACAACCATTTTAAATGAAAGAGACGAACTCCTTCCTTCAACTGAACCGTTTTGAAATCGAGATTTATAAAATCGAGATTTATATGATAGGAAGAACTTACCGGGAGGACTGCTATCCGACATCTTGCTGAATGCTTTGGTTGATTATATCGAAATACTTTGCTTAATTATAATGAATTTATTCGACTAAATGAATATTGTATTTATAGCCAATCCCCGATAAAGAGTAATTAAAAATGTTACTTTTTTATTCTTATCTTCCATATCGAATTTCATTTTATTAAAATAAATAGTTTAGCTTTATTAGGAATATAATGAACGTAAACTTTTTATTTTGGGACATGCAAAACGATGCAACGTTTCAATATTCAATTACCTCCACCGAGAGTATTGATATCAATTATATAAATTAGAATCAAAACACACAAACACTAGATGAGTCCGGTTCAATCTGTGATCAATATTAATTTTATCTATTGAACTCAATCGATACCTAAAACGATACATCAAAAAATGGTAAAATTCGATAGGTAAAATAAGAATCTTCAAATTCATATAAATCATAAAAGGCATTGGAACAATGTTACTTTTTAACTTTAAAGGGAATTATTTTTTCTTTTTATTATTATGCCAAAACATTCCTTTTAAATAGTTTATAAACCATAAATTTATACCTTACCAATAAAATTCTTAAATCAAACCAACAACATTTAAGAAAGAAAAATAAAAAAATAAATATTTAGAAATTGATTCTACTATCGTGGTCAGGGAATGAGATCTCACATCGGTTGGAGAGGGGAACAAAAAAATTCCTTAGGAGGGTGTGAACCTCCCCTGGTGGATGCGTTTTAAAATCATGAAGCTGACGAAGATACGTAGCAGGCCAAAACGAGTGGTATCGGTTCGAGAGAGAGGAACGAAACATTCATTATAAGGTGAGGAAACCTCTTCCTACTAAACACATCTTAAAACCGTGAGACTGACGACGATAAGTAACGGGCCAAAGTAGACAATATTTGCTAGTGGGGAACTTGGGCTATTACGAGTGGTATCAGAGTTAGACACTGTAGGTGTGTCCGTGAAAATGTTAGGCCCCCAAAGGGATTGGATTATGAGATCCCATATTGGTTGGAGAGGAGAACAAAACATTCGTTATAAGGGTGTAGAAAACATGTGAGTTTCGCCTTTTTTAGTAGTCTCTGTCCTTCCCGGCCTGCTGTCGTCAACGGTCCGCTTCCTTGAATGAGAGTTGGTCTTCCCGATCCACGAAAACTGTCCGTTCTCCTTTACTTGTTTAGTGGCATCTGTCTGAGGGCATCTGGAATTGTCTCTTTCTTTCGGTATTCACTCTTGTAAACGGTCGCAAAGGCTCATCTGTCTACGACCCTTCCTTTTATTCATTCAATATCCCGGTTATCTTTTTAGCGAATATCTCCCGTGCTTGGTTAATCGATTGAAGTACAGGTGCTTCGGTCAGCCAGCATGCATGACTAGGTGCTAAAGAGGTGCTAAAGAAAGATCAGCTTTTTATGCTCAAATTACACAGGATCAACTGTATTGGAAATTGGTAAAGCATGACTCCTCAATCCGTCAATACAATCAATACTGCTTCCCTTCTTTTATTCAAGGGGGGGCGAATACCTTGCTTGTAAGTAACAAACATCATTTTCTTTCTTTCAAGATATGCTACTTCCCGCTCTTCTGTCTGTCATCTGTCAACAGGTATCGGTCACATCTGGTCAATCAGTACACACGATATCTGTCTGTAAATAAATCGAGATCTTTTTCGTTATGAGTAGTCAGGTTTATCAGAAAGGAACTGAAAGACTATATCTGGGCTAGCTCGACTCCACCCCAAGGGCTCAGGCACTGGTAGGGGTGTGAGCGTTAATACAGTTTCACACTATTCAATCAAAAAGAGTCTTAACAATAAGGAGACTGTATAAAAATGATACAACAAGTAAAGAAGCAGAAATAAGTGCATAACGGTCAAAATGAGAATGAATGATAAGAGCAATCTCCTCTTCATTTTCGGGCATTACAGAGGAATAGTTATCAAAAACTATATTAAAGGAAACACAACTTCTTCGTTGAGGTTTGTTGAAAGGTGTAATTCCACCGATATCAAAAATGGAAGACTGGTCTTGGTTAACAAGCTTCAACCATGTCTGATACCAACTGCAACAAAGACCCCATACTGAAAACCATTTGAAGTAATGTTAATGTGTGTGGCCTTTCCTGAGCAAGTCTTAGATAAATTGGGTTGGGTCATATACAGTGCATCATCAAGACTGGGACGATCTCCACCGAGATTCACTATTTCTTCAGATTCACAGGTAAAAGAGGTCAAATGCCCACTCTTGGTTTACTCACTGGCAACAGTGGTGCTTCTATCTCTAATCATCCTTGCAGCTTCCTTCACCGGCGCTCACCTTTTTTGTCTGGGTGCACACAAGAAAGTCCCATCATCAGCATCCTTTCCATTTCCACCCCTTCAAACTTCCCCATCAACACAAATCACCTCAATTAGTTTCCCCTTTTTCCACAGGTACCAGACCCAGTCAACAACCACAATTCCATTATAATCAAGAGGCCTTCTACCCGTTGCCACCTCTACCACTACTACACCAAAGCTGTAAACATCTGTCTTCTCAGTGGGAATACCCGAATAAAGATACTCAGGTGCAGGATATCCCATTGTTCCTGCCTGCCGGTATAGTAGCTTCTCTTGTATTCGAACAGTGTGACTAAACTTCTGACAGACCCCAATCCCCAAGCTTAGCATTGAACTCTGCATCAAGCAATATATTGCAAGTCTGAACATTTCTTTGAATTATTTGCCTCTCACATTCTTCATTCAGATAAGTCAGAGCGGAAGCAACCCCCAAAACGATATTCAATCTTTGCTTCCATGACAGGACTCTCGTTGAATTGGAGTTTCTGTGGAGAATATTGCTGAGGCTTCCATTGGGTAAGTAATAAGAAACCAGGACTCACTCAGTATCTGAACAGCACCATCCTTGAAGCTGAACCAAGTTCTTGTGCCGTAAACAACCCAGCATTCTTTCAAACGAAAGGATTGCGCACGCATTCCATTGGACCTCTCATTTTAATAGCCACTTCTCCACCAGATGGAAGAAACCCCTTCTGGTCGCTGATGCCCCTGAACCTTTATTCCCTGACCGGAACCTCTATGACCTTCCCTTCCCTTCACTTTACAGGAGAGGAAATGAATGAAAGAAGGAACCTGAACCAGAACCGAAACCCTTTGACTATCTATCCTTGTTTACAGTTCAAGAAGAAATGAATTAGCTGCTTTTCAAGACGAAAGAAGAATGAGACTGAACCTTAACCTTAACCTTGACAGGAGAGTGTCAATTCAGATTAAATCCTTTCCCTCTCTCTCCTTTACCTTTATCAAATGAATGAGACTGAACAGGAAGTGATTGTGAACCTTTCACTCTAAAGCTATTATGTATGATCCGGAACAGAAGAGTAAATGAATGACGGAACCTTCCCCTGAACCTACACCTTATACTCTATTCCCTGTTACCTGATTGTGATTGAACAATGAAAGATTAATGAGACTGAACCTCTATGACCTTCCCTGAACCTATTTCCCTTATTCATTCAATCCGGAACCTTTTAATAGCCGAGTTTACCGTGTTTGAATAAATTCAGGTAGGGGAGAAGAAGACTCGGACAAGATTCATTCGACTTAACTCCTGACCCTTTACTGTCGGTAAAAGAAAAGAGATGAATGAGACTTGACAGTCGTAAATTCATTCAATCCTGAACCTACACCTATTTCTTCTTGAACATTGTTCGCCTCCCCCTATGTTTTGGGTCATTTCACTCTTTCACTCGGTAAAGCAGCTTAGCTTCTCTCCCTCCTTCAATCCTTCTTTAACTGTAAACAAGGTGGCTTCGCTCCTTTCCAGTTGAGTCAATGAAATCCTCTTCCTTCGTTCGAGTCTCTCTCTCTCTCTCACTGCTTGGTTCTTTACTCCTTCATTCACTCAATAACCTATTTATATTTATTTATTCTTTCAC